GAAAATGCGTCACCCAGTGCGTATGCGTGAGGATCACGTGATCCTAATAAACACATTCACGGAAAGATACTCACGCAGCACGCTCCATTCGAACGGAACTGCAATCAACAGTACCTGGTTGGCAACGTCCGTGTTTATCTGCATTCCCCACAGAAGTTGTTGTGCAGAAAGGATCTCGAAGGAACAATGTGCGACTATTAGATAGCACTTGCTTATGATATATCTTCTGTTCCTCATAGAAAGTTTATGGCTACCTATAGCAAGGTTTTTGTTTCAATAGAGCTATTTTGCGACCAGTTATAGGTACACAAAGCCTGCATCTTTTTTGACACTTTTTTGCCTCTACAGCTTTCATGCTTTTGCTATTCTAGCAGTACCTCATATCATTCCATAGGTAATTGAAAGTTCTTTTATATTCTGACAAGCTTTTTAGAGTTTAGCTACAAATGTCTTCATTAGAGGGAGAAAACAGCAATTTTATGGACAAAATCGCTCAAAGTATTAATTTAAATATACCAAATAAATAATAATTAACAGTGCAAAACATTGAACTCCTTGATATTTGAGTTTCTTTTTCATCAGAGCACTCTTCTTCGAGATATTCTAATTTTAATGGAAAAAATCACGAATTTTGTGGTCAAAAAGTAACAAACCGCCTAGTCAGCAATTTTTTGCTTAGCAACAATACAATCAAATGGCATTATTACTACGCCCACGCGGAAGTTTCTAATCCCTTTCATTTACTCTATCATCTATGAAAATTTAGCTCAATTTTAGCCACACCCTCCCGTTGATTACTTCCGCTATAACCAATAATTATTATTATTGTTTATGAAATTTTTATTTTTAGCCGCTGCAAAGACATCATCTGATAAGCTTCAAAATAGATCTATATCTCAGCATGCTAAAGGTATTTTGGAGGACTCTCAGAGTAAACTGAAATCTGGTACTGTAACAGTTGAGATGTTGCTGCAGCTAAATGAAAAATGGGATACACATTTATTTCAAATGTTGATTTCAGTGTCAATAGACCATCATAAGTTTCTGGGTGATTTGAAATCTGCTATTAAAAGGCTGCATATCTTTAAGGTGTTTCTCTTGCTTTTGAAAAAATTTGCGACTTCTTTAGGTAAGCAATTATGTGTTGTAACAGTATTTATATATGTTATGGGTGTGTGCTTATTGCCATAGCAAGTTTTGATGTGCCATAGGAGTGCCTTTGCATGTTTTTATAGTGTAGTTTCTAGTTTTGATAAACAAGTCAATCATCATTGTGCTCATACAGCGGTGCACTGATTAGTACGATTCACATTACATTAATCGATTCACATTGCATTAATCGTATAGATAAATAGACCACCCATGGTGAGAATTGCTTGCGTGGGAAGACTATTACGGTTGTAAGGCATGGTTTACAATGAAATAAATTCCGGACGCCATTTTGGTTGGCAACTTTCAATGGAGAGCAAACGGGACGACATAAAAACAAACCTGTATTAAGAATTCTGGAGCGAATTTGACCAAATCTTTTACAGGATAAGCTTAAAGGTAGCTATTTTTTTCTTATAACAAGCACTTTTTAGCTATTGAAAGAGCTACAGCAGGTAAGTGAGGCATTTTCTTCGTGCCTCCATTGACTTCCAAACTTGCCAACCAAAATGGCAGCCAATTATGATGCGTGGGCGGATACCGTATATAAATTTAATGAAATTCATAGCTTTTGCAATTCTCACTCTGGGTGGTCTATAAGATATTGACCTGTCTGGCAGTTTAATACATATGGCTTGCCATATGACCACGCACTGGCCAGATAGTAATTGCCCTCGCCCACGCCGTAGGCATATAGGCAAGGGTACTGTGCTCGTGCTGTCATTGTGTGTCTGTGTCTGTGTCTGTGTTAGCAAAGTTTCAATCATGGATGATTTTTTGGCTGATGCTACTTTTAGTCAAGCTCTTCAGAGCATTTCTTTTGCCAATTTGGTACAGGAAAAGTTGTTCTTTTTCTATAATAAGCTCTTTTGTTCTTTTCCAAGGTGGCAAAAGTCAGCAGTGTTTAAGAACAGAAAAAGATTACGGGTAATTTTTGCATAGTTGAAGCTATGGTACCTTTGGAGGCAACAACAGGTAAAGGAAAACATGGAGAACAAAAATATGTGTGGAATTCCTTGACTTTCCTTTGTTTGTGAGATATGACAGCTTAAGTGTGACTTACCAGCCATTTTGTAACATAGCGGCTCCTCTCTGAGAAGGTAGCTACTGCCTCGAAACTTAAGAAACTGGACATAGGAATTGCATGAAACAAGTAGAGCCTAACAAATCTGTGTAAAACTGTGTGCATGGCTAGAAAAACTAAAGCTTTCTGTCCACAGTAAGGCCACATGGCACCATTTTTACTAAACTGGGCGGTGCATATTTTGATTGAGTAGTGAGCCACACTGCACCTTTCATTTCAGCCACACTAATTGCTGCAGCAGCTCAGCAAGGTAGCTAAACAGAAAGTCAGCAGCATTGAGCATTCTTTCCAATTTTTTTGAAAAAAACATTACTGTTTCACTTTTTGTGTTATACTTCACTAATTGTGGTGAGGGCATGTGCTATAGTGCACTCGTTGTAATAGTAATGCTGAGTAATGAGAGGAATTAGTAAACCAATATAATAGTTAAGTAATAGTAATAATAGCAATTGTACCTATTGTAATGTTGTAAACAAGTACATGTAAGTAATAGTAACTTATATACAGTTTATTCATGTATCTATAGTTATATATAATGAAGATTACTGTAGCAATTATGTAATACACTCGTAAACAATGGGAACTTTCTAATTACAATACCTCCCAAAAAGAATTACCTTGACCAGGATTGTGTCATTTAGAGGTGCAATAATTAGGAGGTGCGTTAATTGGTATAATGGTATTACATTGGTTTGCAACTTACTGAACAATGAAATCACTATGCTACCGGGCTAGACCTTTAATAATCAGTTGTTATTAATTGTTATACTAACATAGGCTTGCCTACTTTATTGACTAAAGCAAATGAGCTTCTAAGGCATCATGAAAAACTTGCTCTTAATTCTTTGTGCTTCTA